AAAAAGTGCTATCATATCCCAGAGAAGGGCCACAAAGATGATCTGAAGCTGCAGCACCTCTCCCACAAAGACAGGCTGATGGAGTTGGGTTAGTTCAGCTTTCAGAAGAGAAGGCTCAGGGGATGCCTTATAGCGGCCTACCAGTACCTAAAGGGAATATACAGGAAAGCTGGGAAGGACTTTATCAGGGAGTGTAGTGATGAGACAAGGAGTAAGGGCTTTAACCTAAAAAAAATAAAAATAAAAAAAAAAGTGTTTAGGTTAGATACAAGGAAGAAATTCTTCATTCAGAGGATGGTGAGGCTCTGGAACAGGTTGCCCAGAGAAGCTGTGGATGCCCAATTCCTGGAGGTGTTCAAGGCCAGGCTGGATGGGGCTTTGGGCAGCCTGGCCTAGTGGGAGGTGTCCCTGCCATGGCAGAGGGGTTGGAATTAGAAGATATTTAAGGCACCTTCCGACCCAAACCATTCTGTGATTCCATGATTCTATGACATGGGACCGTAAATGTTATGTTTCAGCAACCCTGTTGGACAAGTCTCCCCAGATCCTCAAAAGACTTCCCACATAATATGGGCTTTCATGTTATCTATGATCAGATCCCTTGTCATGTATAAAAATTATACCGGGTACATTTTTTTGCTATATGTTCTTTTATTATCTTGAGCTATGAAACCTCTAGAAAAGCTCCCATGGAGATACACTGTAGAGTGACTTTATATTGCATGGTCAGGGAGACTGGTCAGATTTTGTAATGATGACAAGATGTACAGTGGCTCTGATTCTGACAGACTCCATTATACCTCTCTGGGACAGCAGCAGCCCAAGTCAATACTGTATCTACCTAGCAGTAATCCAAGACCTTACTTGAAAATGAGCTGTGAGAGTTTATTACTTGTGAGCAGACAAAAAGCTATGAAAAATGCAAGTAGAAACAAAAAGCAGTGTAGCATATTTATTCTAATGTAAAAAAGCAAAATCAACTAATTGACTTTTTAAAGACAATCTTCAAAATATGCAGAATTATGTTTTAATGCTTTATGTCTATCATTCTTTCCTGTAGGTCTGACTGCAATCCAATCTAATTCAATCCATCTAATGCATTTCTAATGTGTTTTTCATCATAGAAGCTAGGCACCATTAGGAACTTATCTCTGTTCCCACTTTACCTTGGTGGTGACATGTTTTCAAACCAGATGATATTCTGTGTCAGAAATATCAAGATTTCCCATAAGCGGAATTCAGTAACCCCCATGTACTTTTAGCTTCCCGATTCTTCTTAGTGACTGCATTTCGATATGTAGTCCCCAGTATCTGTTCATCACTCCTAATTACTTTTATTTTAGCCTACGTTCCTGATTTCTGGGCCAAGAAGTTTACAGAACTATGATGTACTCTGATGATGCATTTAATCAGGGCTTAGTAATCAAACAGAAAGCTTTTCAGGGCAGGGTGGAATATGGGAGGAACCATATTGTCTGCCCAATTATTGTGTTTCCTGTTCTCAGCCGACAGAGATCCTGCAGGGACCAGAAGACCTGCCCGTAGCTTGATGGGAAGTTACTGAATAAGTAGAAGCCATGTCAAAAGGGGAACGGTGGCAGAAAAACAACATAGGATCAGTGAAGTACAAAAGATTTAAAGTGTACACACTTCTCATTTCCAAAAGCCTTTGTCATCAGGGTGCAAAACTCTCTAGAAATATTTGTGAGTATGGGTGAGGGGCAGGGGAAACCTAACCATTAATTCCTAAGAGGTGTTATCTGATGCATCAGAGTTTGACTGTAAATTTGACTACACTGCTGTGGTGCACAGAGAAATGAGTGAAGAAATATCTGATTAAAGTGTACATTGCTGCTGAGGCAACTGAATGTTACCATAGCAATTGAGATGAAATGTGCAAAGAAGTGAGATAATTAAATCTAACCCCTTTAGTAGTTTTGATAGTCAATGCACTGCCAATAGGAAAAGTTATCTACAGTGTTAAAGATAAAACATATTCCTCGTGGAAGTACTCCTTGCTGGTATTTTGTTGATCTCTTTTTAAATACATTGCTTCAGGTAGCTAATTTGAATGTTCTCTTTAATAATCAAATACAGTTTTGACCTTGGTCTGTAACAGCCTAGAACTTTTCCTGACTTCTTGTATCATGGGAACTGGCTACACAAAATATCCAGAATGTTTTTATTCCCCCCTCTTCTGCGTGTAGTACAGTAAAGCCAGGGCTGTTATGTCAAAGCTTACAGTTCAATAATATCTAGAACGTGCTGCCCTCTTCAGGAGCTAGCGATTAAAAATATGCAATTTTGTTTATTGATCCCGAAACTGTAGTGAACAAGCAGGAACTACAGAACTAAGTTCTTTTTTTGACATTTCTAATGCCACTGCCAGAGACACTGAAAGTAGTTGCAACATTAATAGACAAATTGGGTTTGGAAAAAGCAAATCAAAAACTTGTTAGCATTTCTCAAACCAGATTTGAGAATTGGGTGGTCATACTCACATCCACTCAGGTTATTTATTTGAGGCAGTGAAAGCAAGCTAGGAGAAGCCTTGACTCACTTCTTCTAAAATAATAATTCTCTTCTACACAAGCAAATAACCTGTTATTAAAAATGATTTATGTCTAAAAAGAACTCATACATTAGCTGTCATACTGAACTTATTTTGCTTTCAGCTGCTTTGCTCCTCTGAATCCATGTAAGGATTTAAGCCGTGATTTAGCAGAACATTACAGCGTATGCTTAACTTTAGACAAAAACATTGCTTCAAAGACTGCAGGGGAATATTTGTGTGAAAGCACCAAACAACTTACACATTGGTCTGGAGGCTTCCATACTTGGCTGATACGTGGGGGATAGGACCACAGTTTTCAGTTTGTGTCTTACAAAGCTGTAACTCATATTGTGGAATCTTAATAATTAAAGAATAGATCTAGAGGCAAAATCCAGACTTCCATGAATATAATTTCTTTTGAAGTCAGGGGGAACTTTTGTTCATTTATGAAATGGTGACATTTTATTGGTTTACAAATAGCTTTGACAAAAATAATTATGGCTCGGTGGCTTGCAAGCTGTGCAGGGGAAAGCCAAGTATTACTTTGCTGAGATGAATGGATTTTTTATGTAGCAGCCCTGAACAGGCAGTGGATTAATGATTACCTCACCCAAACAGGGCACCTGAGAGCAGGGAGGGCTCAGGAGCAGGGATGGCTGGGAAGGCCGCAGACCCAGTGCTCTGTGGGAACTTGGCTCCACTGAGAGGCATCATCAAAGGGCTCATTTTAAACTTACGTGCAGTACTCTTCCTTTGGCTGAGGGAGATTCTATTTTCCTGAGTTTCATAAATGAAGTAAGGGAGGTATTTTGTGCTAAGTCTCACACAAAGCACAGTAAAGAAGCTGTAGCCTGCAAAGAGCGGAGCAAAAGTGGCTTTAAGGCTTCTCTGTGGATGCTGGGATTCAAGGCTGGATACAGGCCAATGAATCTTCGCGTAAATTAGAGCAGCCTGGGGGGACTCTTCTAATTTACATTAGCTTTATCCAGACTCCCTGTTTCTTGTGCTGTGCTGCAACCTAGATTGGGCCTGAATTTCTGCAGTGCTGAGCACTGTGGAAACTCCCTTTTTGCCCAAGGTAAATTCCTTGAACGGAAGTAACTCCTGTCCCGGGGAATTCTTCTCTAGCTGGACACTCCCTTACCAGTAAATAGTGACATTTCATCCAGCACTGTATGCGGTCATGCTGAGAGCCTAGAATTAATCTGTCATTTAGCTCAGTTTTTGTCTTACATTATTTTGGCTAATAGCCCTACCTAGATGACAACATATTTTTTTTTCAAAGTGGTTTGTGACTCTATCTGTTGGTTACAGTAACATTTTCTAAACATAATTTTAAATTGAATTCCTTAATTCTCTCCCTTGCATGTTTACTTTAGGAATTAATTTTCTCAAAGAATAAAAATAGTTAAGAATTATGAGTCAGTTTTAAACGTTTCCCCTCCTTTGATAAAAAAAAAACAAACTTATTTTTCCTCTGAAAAGCCTGCACAAGGCAGATTCTGTACCTAGCCCTGGCTGTTTCAGGGAGAGTAATGTTCAGAGATGATGTGTGAGAAATGACGGCAAAATTTACCCTATTGTCCTGAAAACTTTTTATTCTTGGACTGTACAATTGGCACATATAGCATAAGATGTTATAGAAAAGTCAAAATCCCCTCCGCTTAGCTACTGAGGGAAAGTGATCACTCTCTGCTCAGCCTTTAGTTTAAGGAGCTAGTGGCAGTGATTCATTTATTTCTAAAGAAAGCAGAATAGGTACTATGTCAGGTGTAAGACAGACTGAAAGGGACAAAAGAGTGGAAGGAAGAAAAGAGAGTTAACTGGTATCCTTTCTTTCATTTCCAAGCCACAATTAAAGCATGCTGAAGAGGTGTGTGATGGACTTCGTGCTCCAGCCTAATCATTACAAACTTACAGCCCAGAACTTACATTTTCCTGAAGCAAAATGTAAAGATTGATTAATTAGTTCAATAATCATAAAATATTTAAAAATTAGTTAAGAAAATGTTTAACTTATTGTTGACAATTATCTCTGTATACATACATATATAAACATTTATGCACATGCTTTACCCTGTTCTCTCCCACTCCATAGAAGAGTGACAGCCAGCCTGAAGTTTTATTTTCTAAAGTACTATCACTAGTTGGATGCCAAGATCCTATGTCTATATTTTATGAACACTGTAGAGATAAATTCCAGCTGGCATGCAGTTCTAAATACAGATATGCACAATAGCCAGTACTTTTTTTCTAATCCAGTACCTGCTAAGTACATGTAATATATATGCAAACTGCATTAAACTATTGATCTATGATTTGAACATATATATATATATATATATATATATATTTTTTTTTTTTTTTTGATAGTGATGCATTGTTTGGCAGCTAGAATCCCTGCAGATGAGAGTATAATAACTAATACATTTTCTTTGCTTTCTAGGGTCTTTATGGCAGAATGATTAATTCCATCTTTTCTAGAATGGTAAGCAGAAAGCTATTTCTGTTTCTGATAGAAAGAATATAAGGTAAATTATTTTAAGATTGCCAAATTGCTTAAGAAATAACTGTACTGTACAATTTCATAATTATATGGCTTGTACAACTGAAAATATTTGAATATTCAAATCCTGTAAGCTACCTAGAAAAGATTTGCAGAACATTATACTAATTCTTCAAAAGAAAATAAGTCAGGATTTAGCATCTGTCTTAAAAATGCTACTGACCTCAGAATGCACAACTTTTATTTTTTCTGTATAATCTCTTATAATGTATGTATTCCCATACACCTAAATACATTTTCATTCCATCAGTGGAGAATATAAATCTCTCTCTTCTTTGTGAGACTCAAAACAACTTCAGTGAGTTCCATAATATGTGTTACTATTTGAATTGTATAAGACTGATCTTTATTTATGTTTCACTGGGGCCTTGCTGTATCTGTGAATTAAAAATACATATTTTTCAGAGACATCAATTCTTCTGCATGCCATCAGGTTGCTTAAAAAAAAAAAAAAAAAAAAAAAAAGATTGTTTCATTTGTCACTCTTTTTTTTTTTTGATGGCTGAAAAAGGCAATAATTATTTTACCCCTTGATCATAACATCTTTGCAATCAAATAAAAAGAAAAAATCATCATACTGTACATGTAAAGGTCATCCTAAAATATGTCTGAGCAAACTATACAGAATCCTATGAGTACATTGCTAAGGAGAAATGTTTTTCAGCAGGTCTTGGGCATTCACTTATAAAAAAATAAAAATAAAAACCTTTCCCACTACATAAAAATGTAGTTTGAAATCTACATAAAACCATCATGAAGTGAAACTACTGTTAAAATGGAAAGAAATATTACTCAAAAATATCCCATCGGAGCACAAATTCTGACTTGAAATGTGCCTGCTTCTTACTGTTACACTTGAAAGATCTTCCATCTAATCCCAAAAGAAACTCAAGACCCTTTAAAAAAAAAAAACAAAAAAAAAAACAACAGATTATTCAAAAACCTTAATGCATAAGAGCATGAAACAATGATAGATTTAAAATACGTGGGACTGATTTTTTTGTTGTCTTTGATATAAAGAGTATCAAAGTTGCCAGTCTTCAAGAAAACCAATAGCAAAACACAAGTTTTATGATGAACTTTAAGAACGATAACATGATTTCCAATGAACAAGGCAGGTTAGTTGTTCTTTGAAACTTTTTTATAGGAAAGTAAAACCTGCAGGTGAAGCTTCTTTTGAAACACTTGTTTTTAACCTATAGATCTAGCCCTCTGATAGTAACAATGAGGTCTGCTTTGGCAAAGTCTGTGATGTATTTTTACCTGCCTGCTAACTGTATTTCACAAGGATCAGGCCTGAGGATCCTTTTGGAGCATATCTGTGATTAAAAAGAAATAAAAGTCACATTGAACTAAGGAAAACACACACACAAAACAGTTGCAAACAGGCATGAGAATTGCATTTAACCTCCTTCATCCACAAACATAAAAATATTTGAGAAGAACTTGAGTCATTTTTAATCAAAAAGATTATCTGTGTGACAGTTAAGTAGGTTTGGGATTAAACTATCAAAGGGTCTGTCTCTTTTGTGTATGTTTGCCTATTAGCAGTAGGTACTTGGCACAAGGATTGTATGTAGGTTGCAGCCACAGACAGATGCTTGCGCTGCATACACCCTTTTCTGCAATGTTCATTAGGCAATAATATTGTCAAAGGTAAGTGTTTACCAGCAGCTTTAGTCTACTTAAAACCATTTTAGCCTGAGGCTGATTTTGTGAAGAAGGCTTGGGGGAAGGGCAGAAAAGAGGCACAACATTTCATTTTTCATGAAAACAAATGTATTCAGCCAGTATCCTGATTTGAGGTAATTTATAACTCGAAATTTGCATGCTAAGTGAAATTGTAATTATTTTTATTTTGAGGCCAAGTGTGTTATCTACATTATAAGCGAAGGCAATAGGACAAAGGCTTGGACCTTAAGGGTTACTACAACAAAGACCATAATAGATTATTTTGGGGAGAATTCCTTTTTATGTGTATAACCATATACACCCCAATGAGTTTTCCCTGACTTGTTTGGAATCAACGTTACACTGCTGATTATGGATTTCCATTATGTAAATGTAACTCAAATATAAATATATTTTAAAGTTGGGTGTCTGTTGTTTAAGGAATGGGAAACTGAGCTTCCTCATATTACTGCAAGGCTTTTTTAATCCTGAAAATAAGATAAATGTCTCAGAAGAAAACAAATTGTTCAATATAATTAATACAAGTTTAAGAAAAAAAAAAACAACTTCTAATTTCTTACTCTATCTGTGTTAAATGAATAAAGATTAAATGCACATTACTTTGAACAGTCACAACATGTAGATTTTAATCTAAAAATGGACTTTTCTCTGTGTATGTTAAGAAATTATATGTTATCTCAAGTTATTCCTAAATACGTAATATTTAATGGTAGTGTTTAATTAAATATGTAGCCATTTTGTCATGAATTTTGAATTCTATAATTGTTTTTGATATGTGAAAAATCATGTCTTAGATAAACTGAGAACATAAAAGAACTATTAACATATGTAGAGGGCCGCTGCAGCTAAAAACAGGAGACAAAAAGTAGTTCTCACTTTCCTCTCAATTAAAACTCTGTGCAATTATTCTTTTAGATTATAGATCTCTTTTGGGATTCTGGTTACACAGAACTTTTTGGTTCATTTCACAGGAATAATATTCATCTTAATTAGCAAAAACAATTGATGGGCTTTTCTCTTTTTTACAAGAGGGAGTTCACTCGGTGTACTGATTACGAGTAGTAGATTATCCTGATAAACGAAAAGTTCTTGTCTTTCTGAACAGCAGCTGAATATGTTATCTGTCTTCAGCCTTGTAGCTTCTTTGTTAGACATCACCTTGTTGAGACAGAATGACTTACTTGGTAAGTGGTTGACCCGATTTTTTGTCTGGCACCCTAACATTGCTGGGCATTATGCCAAGCTGGATCTGTAGCTATTTATGATGGCGTTCAATGTTCAACTATGCAAATCACAACTATTAGCCAAAAAAGCATAGCAGATTTTTATTTATTTATTTATTTATTAATATTTCCATAGCTCACAAGGTCAAAGCATTTGTTTTCACAAATTTTAAATATAGTTTTGTAAGTAATGATCTGTAATGTTTGAAGAGATTTTCACCTTTTAACATTTTATTTAGACTGAATTAGACAGAACATAAACATGTTTCCTTATGTGTTACAAAATAATTGTATGGAGAAGAGACATGAGATGAAGTGAACAAACATATTTCATTTTATTTGTCCTGTGAGTAGCTTGGCTGCTCTGTACAGAATTACAATAAAAGGAAGCAAAGACAAAGAGTCTTTGGAGAATAGTCTTTCCCCAAAAGCCCATCCTGATGAGGGTGGCTGTAGGAAGCTGTAGCCCAAAGTTCTCCCTGGCCTTCAGCTTGAGCAACTCCACGTTGCCTGCATGTCTGCTCTTAGTGTGGAATCAGGTCTGAACCCTTGGCCAGTTGATCTGTGTGTACTCACAAACATTTATGCCTCTCTTATTTCCAACCCCTAAAGATGGTGCATACACACAATCTTCTTGATGAATCATAGTTCCAGACAGAGACAGGGTGCAAAGTCCCAGGAGACCTGTGCTTGCACCGTGCAGTGAACTGCAGTGGTCTGCTGGAGCTTTGGCCTAGCCCAACTCTCAAAGATTCTGAAACAACATAATATAAATAGGCAATAGCTAAAAAGTAATATGCAATATGTGATAGAGTGATATGGGATATGTATAATCACTACATATACTGGCCTGTATGTAGTCGACAATATAGTAAATAGCGACATTTCCTCTTAGAGAAAGGGGAAGTAGATTTAGGTATGAAGAGCACACAGTGTGTTTTCTAATAGAGATTTCGGGCATAATTTGGATTAGGTCTGTATTTTGTGACAGAATATGAGAGGGGAACACATGTTTATTCACTGGGTGAGCACCCTTCACATAACACCAATGGCTGCTTAATTTAGTGATTGCAACATGAAATAATTAACAAGGCTGAACCTGTGGTGCAGAGTATTTCTTTGTCTGATATAAAGGATTAACCTTAAAAAGTATAAAATAAAATGAAACAGATATCAGAGTTGTAAGGAAAAATGTGTTTCAGATTCTGATAGCTAAGAAAAACAGTTTGAGTGTTCAGTAACTGTGGCTGAGTGTAGTTTTCATCTGTGAGATAATTTTTATTCATCATCTGAGTTTTATGGATTGAAGTAAAATACTGTGTTTCAGCAGAAGTACAGGAGATCATGTTAATGTTTGAGTACACAATAAAGCCAATCAAGATAAACTGGTCAAAGTCTGATTTTTGTTTTTGAGTTACCATCCAGTCAGAGCAGAAGTACTCATTGATCTTAGTGGGGTTTCTTCCCTTAAGAACTACAGGACAGAGACTGTAGGGATTTGCTCATCTGTAACAATATTTCCCCCATATTTCTCCTAACAGGGTGTGAAAGAGGCTGTCAACAAAGTAGAGAAAATACATTAAAGTGGGGTAAAAAATATAGGTTGAATTGGGAATATGGAGATTTTCCATCAAATTCATAGGGTTTGCACAAAGAAGTAGAGTATGAGCTTTCTTAATACAATGCAAAGCCCCAGAATTTATTAATGGTTAAATTTCCATGCTTTGGCCAATTCTTTTTTAAAGAGTCCCTTCTCCAAAGAAAGACACAGAGCACTGTGTTATGGTAAACACCAGGTTGTTTACCTGGTGTAAAGGTCTGACCTGTTTAGGTCAGAGGTTGGACTCGATGATCTTGAAGTCTCTTCCAACCTAGAAATTCTGTGTGATTCTGTGTGAACTCTGTCCACAGTCAAATCTAAATAATACTTAAGAAACTAAATCCAAAACATTAGCAATAAAAACACTTAGCATGTATTTCTTTCCTGGGAGCCTACATGGAAATTGA